ATGTGGGTAAAGGTATTTGTTTATTTTCTAAAGAAATGTTTTTCATGTTTTATGTTTTGCAGAATCAGATGTTTATTTATCGTACAAATGGTGATGTTGGAAACCCTCACCTTAGCCACACAAATGCATGTGGAAGTTATAGGAGATAGTTTTAGTTAGTGTGGAGGGGGCAAGTGAATGTGTAGTTATCTGGCTATGTCAAAAGAAGCTTCTAAATGTGTTGGTTCTCTAGCAAGTACTTCTTCTTACTGTATGCATGGCTATGTTAATTAAAAAGGTCAGTGACAATTCTTGTGAGGATGTGATCTATTTATATTTCGTAAGAGTGTGTGTAAAAAACAAGCTTGATAAACTGAACTTGTGCAGTCAAATTAAGAAAACCCTAAACAGTAACCAATAGGAAACTCTATGAATTGTTATAGGATGTGTTTCTAAGACCTGTCTATTTATTTTTAGGTAAAAAAAAATATATAGCTATATCATGAACATTTGAGAAAAATCAAGGTAAATTTTCATGCATGGTAATCAGGCCTTTAATGACAATCATATCAAATATATTTTTCTGTGATAAGAAGGAATCTACTCATTTCCTTTGCAAGTACAATCAACAATCTTGATGTGATATGGGTAGGCTTGGAATTATATCAGAGAAATATATGGGTAAATTTAATGAAATAAAAAAACACTCCAGAATGTATAAAAACACCACAAAAATTGCTTAGAATTGGCAAATGAAATTACAGACGTGATCACCATTATTAAAAATCTATAGGCAGAATTGCCAACTTTTGAAGAACCAATCTTCCATTAAAGTCTACTGGTGTGCATGCCACCATAAGCCCAACCTAAACCCTTACCATAGGAATATGACCTTGTATACACACTTATCCCCCTAGCTAAGATTGGGTATATAGGCAGCCGGGACCCTATGTTTGTTTAAAGTATATGCAAACCATATATTGCATATCAAGGGTCTTATTTCACTGTAATTGATAGAAACCAAAGTCTTGGTAGAAATGTTATCACATTGTGGCAAATGATTTCAGACAGTGATGCCTCACTACATTGTGAGTCCATCTCAGTCACTGGGATTAGATCTTGTGTGCATTACTGGGATCCATAATATTGTTTAGGTATGGGACGATATTCATTAATGAATACCCATCCTCATCTGACTTTATTAAATATTTACCACTTTTTAATTTTTATTTTTATTGAATATCATTTTCAAGATGTAGTGCACACTAACTTTTTATATTTATTTTTCTATTGTTATAGGTCCAATAAACAAATGAATTTGTTAATTGTTTATCATTGGGTGATTGGAGGTTGAAGTGACTGTTGTAGATAAAGTGGTCTTGGATCATATCAACAAAGCATAGAAAAGGATTGTGTGAAAATAAAGAAAAGATAAGGTAATCAGAATATAGTTATATTCAAAAGTAATCTGCAGAAGGCAAATGGAAGGCTGCAATCATTAAACAAATTATTTTCATGTAAACTTGTGTGTGGAGTCAAGGCATTCTGTGGCTATGGTAGAGCTTGTCAACTTCCAAGTTGATTTGTCATCTAATAAGTTCAACGTCTGAATATATGTGAAGAAGATTTGTTAACCTTCTTTTGAGCTCGGTGTAAAACCCACAGTTGTGCTTATCATGGTCTATTCCAAATAATTATGCAGTTATGTAGAACATAGCCATTATGATTGAGAAAGAAACACTTCATATAGAAAATTTATAACCATTTATCTCACTTGGAATAAACATTTAATTTGTTAGCATCTGCAATAGGAAATAACCTATAAAATGGTTGCAGGATATCTAAGGAAAGAGAGTGGGCACAGGTTAGGGTAAGATCTGAATGTGGAAAGTATAAATCAATGTCTCAAGATGATTATTGCATTGAAAAGTCTATGGGGACATAGCACATTACTTCCATTTTGGTTCAGTTGTGTACCACTCGAGTGTCTTTAACTTGCCAGGTGTGGTGCATCTGTGACCAAACCATAGATATTACAGGACAGTAGTGTCCAAAGTTCTATTGGCTTTTAATGGGACAGCTTGAATTGTAAAACGTCCCAAAGCTGACAAAGGTGTCCCATCTCCCTCTCTTAGAGAAAACCAATTTAAAAGCTAATTTGTTAGAGTCAGAGACAGTAATGCTTAATCAGATGTTGGCTATAACGAATTGTGAAGCTGGGAGTTTTTTATTTACCTTGATAATTTATAAATATTTATTTGTGATTGGCAATGTATTGATGAAATGATAGTCCCACAAAATAATAACAACATGAAAGTTGATAATTTGATTGCAAAATTTACTGACTACATTAACCCATTGGATCCAGTTGCGTCACGGCAATCACATGGCCGAAAGTAATAGTATTAGTTTTATGTAAGTTAGGGCTCTGCTGTGTGTGTGGCACTTAGGCTAGGCGCACATAAATGTGTGTGCAGTGTCAAGACTTTATGCCTCCCCTTTCCAAAGTTATTTTGGGTGAACGTTTTTAGCTCTCTTCCCATTTCACAGATGGTAATGAAGTGTGCAACATTTTTTTTGAGCCATATATTATATTTTACATAATTTTCAACTTTCCATAATACAATCTGCACTGTCAGTCAAGGCAGTCAGGAATATGATGCTGAGCATGGAAATGGTGTCTTAGATCTGGTGCTCTTCCAGTCATGGCTTATATAGTTTGTGCTTTATGGTGAGTCTTTTGTCACCCTGGCCTTCACTCATGAAGGTTGCTGGCCTGTGGCCATTTTGTCCCATGACACCCGGCCATTGACCCAAATTTTTCCATGACAGGATGGTCACATCACCTGGAACAAAGGGGTTAAGATTTTACTCAATAATTGCTGTATTTAATGTTGATAAGGGGCCTGTAACTTGAGGTTGGTGGTATGCATTGTCAGGTTCCCTTGGCTCATTCAGGATTGGGCACCTAATCACTTATAATTTGACTTTAAATATTTAATATTTTAAGTACCATTTTCCAAGTGTGATGCTAAGAGTTGATAGAAGTACTTTTGGAGAAATAAAAGCTCCCTCCACAATCTCATTATGTTTGTATGTTGTTTGGCCACTATTTGCTTGTGGCTAACCCACCCATCTCTGTAAAGGAATTGGGAATTGGGAGCCTTTGTCATAACCTTAGTAACTTGTTAGGATGGGAGGATGTCTAGATCCAAGTGCACATCGGCACACTGACAGCATTAAGTAGTTACACTGTTTTACCCCTCTGATATTATCCTGTACATTGACTAATGCCCATTAACAATTAACAATAGCAATTGTCTGAAACAGGACTTATCACTCTTAAGACAGAGTTCTTGATTATCTGGTTAGGAAGTAATCATAGGTACATAGGCTTTCTTGGTTAAGGGAAGTGGATGAAATAACTCATAATATGGAAACAATTTTTGAACTTCAATTCTTTCAGCTTTTTCGTTCATATTTCTAGTGCTTAAAGATTTATTTTTCAGTATTGCATAGCAGTGCAGGGTCAAAAATTACTACAGTTACCTCCCCTTCATGAATAAAGATAGGAAAATAGAAAGGAAATTATTAAACAACATGTATATGAAACAGAATATTGTTTAAATATATTAGAGAAACAAAGTAAGATACTGAGACGTGGTGATATTGACATGTATAATATATATTGTGGATGGGAGGGGGTGTTAGACATGAGATAAGGCTAGAATTACATGTCCAAAAATTTGGTTTTTGGACATGCACAATACAAGGGAAACATGATGTGGGATTAGAATTAGTAGCATAATCAACTTTATGGTAGATTCATTGAAAAAACACCTTGGCATATGATCTGGGAAGGTGCTTTGGAAGGACTTTATTTTTTGGATTATGAGTCGGTCCATGAAAAAAATCTTAGAATTCATTAATTTGTCAGTATCTTATACTGTAATCATATCTAGACATAAACAGCAGTAAACTTTATTAGTCACTGAATGATCTGTACAGTGTTACTGGTTTACAATAGGTCTATTGCTAATTGAGATAAATGAGTTGCCTTGCCATTTATGCTCAGAAACCAGGAGCAGCAAATTCCTTCTTGTATAGAATGTCCAGTTGTGTCAGGTCAGTAAATACAACTCAGCTAGATGTGAATACCTCAGATTAGACTTCGAGCTTCATGATCTCTGATTTAGGTTACCTGTGGGCAGGAAGGGATGTGAATGGTTTGTTGGCCTTGATATAATTTTAGCTCTGTATGCACTAGTAAAGCTGCCAGAGGCTGTGCCATATGAGGATTCTTAATGCCATGAGACTTCTTGGCATTCTTTTGCCAAGAAGCACTAAGCCCATCTATCAATTGTTCATGCTACACAGTTGAGCCTGCACTTTTTTGTACATACGTGTTCAGCTTAGTTTCTTTTCATTTACTTACATCGAAAAATTGTATTTGACATTGCCAAATTGACACACATTAAGGGAAACATATAATTTCTTTGCTTTTCTAACCTAATACTCCTTTTATCACCTCAGTCATTGGAGATAACTGTATTCATCATCTCATCCCTTGTCCCCCTTTTCTGAGCTTTAGGTCTGAATTTGTATAGAAAATTGAGATTTTTTTCTTGTAATAGTCAAGGTCACCTAGAATATAAGTAGAATATGACAGGTACAGAAGTTAAGCTTTAAATATGGTATGGTTGATAAGATAATTTGGAAAATTAAATAGTAAAGGTGTTACAGAAATGCAGTAGCTTTAGAGTTACATATTTCTGTGTCTGTACTTTCCTCCCCTTTTGTCGAGGTCTGAAGATCCTCTTCATCCTCTTCTATTGCTTTCTGCACAAAAGTTTATATGAAGATGGGAATTATTTATGGGAGAAGTAATAAATGTAGCTGAATGTACAGGTACATACTTTATCAACCTGTTATGTAGTTTTGATTGCAGGTATTTTAACCTACTACCCTTTTTTCTGTGTACTTGAAATGTGTATTAATATATTACTGTTTGTCTATTCCAGGATGTCGGTGCATTACAAATTTAAGTCAGCTGTCGAGTATGACACGCTGCCAGTGGATGGAGTCCACATCAGCCTAGGTGACCTCAAAGAGGCCATTATCCAACAGAAGAGGCTGGGAAGAGGACAGCCATATGATCTACAGATCACCAATGCAGAGACCAAGGAAGGTAAGCACATTTTTAAAATTATGTTCCTTATTTTATTTATTTGTTTATTTAATTGTCTACCAAATTTTTGTAGTCTAACTTTGTCGTGTTGTGAAGTGCCTCATAACCATTCGAACCAGGTGCCTTGCTGCCCACATGTGGCTCAAAATGGGCATTAGACTAATTTTAGTGGCAACTCAGCAGTTTATAGCCTGTAGGCTTAGCCCAGGCAAACACTCCTGTGTGGGATCAAGACTCTTTGCCTCCCCTTTGCCATATTTTTTTCTCTCTCTGCTTAAGCATTTTTTGCTTTACCCTTTTCTAAGCTCTTTTGTAATTTTATCTGCAGTTTCAAGATGATAGACTATTTTCCATGCACAGATGCCATATCTTATCTCTAAGTAGTCTACAGCTTTGTGCAATAATAATAACAATTAGTAACATTTTGTTATTTATGTCTTTTTAAGAATATTTTGGTATTCAGTTTTCTGAAACTCCCTGTGCTGCTGGTAATGGCAAGCAGGAATAAGATCCTACCATGGAAATAATGTTGGAATTATGCAAGACCCCATCTTAAATGTCCACTGAGTATAATCTTCCAAGAGCATTGTGTACTTATGGCAAGTCATTACCTTCTCTTCGTCCTTCAACCAAATATTTCATGTCGCTACATTCCCAGCTTTTCTTTAGAGTATATGGGGAGGTGTGTGGGACTAGCATGTCCTTTGGTGATATTTGTATGAGAAGTGGACTTTGACATACCTCATTTTATATTTGATTTGGTAGATTTTCAAGCAATCAGACTGTCGTCTTTCTGCGGTCTGGACATAATTCTTGTAGTATTTGTTTAGATTGTTGAAAGCAGAGAAAAATGTCTCCAAATGATAATCTCCCTTAGGATTCAAGTTTGTGGTGGAAAAAGTCAAGTTGTCAACATAACATTGGGTGTGTATACTTGCTGAATATTACTTAACACTGAGTGTGAAGATGCTCTGATGTTTAACCCATTGGATTCTGTAGCATCACAGCAATCACAGGTCTGAAAATATGAGCAGTGGCATGCGTAAGTGGCTGCTCTCCTGGGTGTGTGGTGTGCAGGCTAGGCGTATGGTAACACTCATGTGCGGTGACAAGACTCTGTGCCTCCCCTTTGCAAAGATATGTTGCATAAGCTTTTTGGCTTTTTTGCCATTGGCCATGTTCATGTTTGTTTTATCCAGATGATAATAAATTATTTTCCTTGTGCAGACTCCATAGCACCTCGAGATGTTGAATAACTTGGTAAAAAAAAAAAAAAAAAATTGTTTTTGTCATATATTTTTTTACATATTTCTTATATTTCTGTAATACAACCAGCTCCACCGGTCATAGAAGCCAGGAATACAATGCATGGAAATGGCATCCTCCATGGAGTCAGTGCTATTACAGTCATGGCTTAGACACATAGCATTCCACACTCATTTATCGATAGGAATAATATAAAAGCTCTCCTCTATAAGCCAGATGAATTAAATCATACTCCAAGAGGTTTGTGCATTCATGGTCAGTCTTTTTTGTCACCCTGGCCTTTGCACATAACAGCAAGTTAGTGCACCTGGCCCCTGGCCATTTTCTCGGATGGTGGCACTGTCATGTCTCCTGGATCACGGGTTAAGATTCAAATTAAAGGTGGAAAAAGTAAAAATGGCAACATGACATTGGGTGTGCATACTTCCTGCATGTTACTTTACACTGAATGTATTTTCAACCATTCACATTCTATCACATTATAGTGAAAGATGCTATGATATTTAATCATGCCATGAGGCTGCTTTGTGATGGCTGGGTTGATGTGCCCAGCCACCAGCTTGGACACAGAGCAGTGTGTTCAAGTGTACCTGGCCTTGCTAGATTTTAGCCTAAATATTTCCCATTGTAAAGGTAATACAAATACAGCTAAAGCAAGTGGATAGATTGTGACCTCACCTGATCTTATCTCTCCTTAGGAATTGGGAAAAAATGTATTTTTACAAATGCTAGCAGTATGGATGCTATTATTTTTTATATAGACATTATGATTATTAAAGTGTTAATAGCATTACTAATAGCAGTATATGTTGACATACTTCTAAAAATCAAGGAAAAGAAGAAACAGGTGAGATAGTACTGATAATTGACTCATTGGTGACTAAGCACTGAGGAGCCACATGTGTGTTAAGACAATTGTGAACTACTCACATTAGGTATGGCATGTACATGCATACCATCCCAATCAGGATTGGGTTTAGGGAAGATAGAGGAAACCTATGGAAAATTGCTACTTATATTTTCTACAAGACTTTATACTTTCAATTATTCAATATGTTTTAATGACTATTTGCTTTCTTTGCAGTTTACACAGATGAGAAGACGCTCATCCCAAAGAATTCATCGCTGATAGTCGCAAGAGTGCCCATCGATCCCGCACTCATGAAGAAGCCATGGTAGGTCTCTTGCTGGTAATTAGTATATATTATTGAAATGAAAAATATAGATTTTTTTAAATGCCAAAAGAACATGAAGATAAATGAAAAATTATCTTTCAGTTCTCTTTGGAGTAAGCTTTTGACTCGCAACTTCCTAGTACTTTAGAGAAAATCTTAACTGAATTCATAATTTTTTTTTCAACAGGGAGAACAAGGAACCGACAGCCCTACTACTATCCAACCCTTCAAACCTGATGAACGTATGTAACAGTGGATCAGCTGTGCAACTTACTTTACCTCCAGCCGGGTAACACCTATTTATCTAGTTTTTAAGTGGATGACTATTGGAGTGAAAAGGCTGAAGCAGAAGCGCTATCACAAGTGCTGCTGGCCACACTCTTAAGATACCGTGGTGTCCCTTCGTGGTGTCACCTTGGTTGTATACTATTTGAGGACAGTATGAAGCTGTCCTCATACATACATCCAAAATACCTTTTTTCCAGTATTTCATAATATTGATTATTATTATTTTTTAACTTTTATTATTATTTCTCTCTGTAGACTTTTGATAACTTTTCCCCTCCCCATGGGTTGTTATTGCAACAAATTTGTTCTTGTAAACTGTGTAGTAATTTGTCACTTAATTTTACACACTGGATAACTAACCAAAAAATTAAATAATCCTGTGTGTAAAGTTGAGGTAGACATAATATTTTCGATTTTTATCAGTTACCTTACTTCGTAGCAGCCAAGGAACATACATTTCTGAGAATGGATATTGAAATATTGAAATGGATGAAGATATTTATTTGTCATGAACAGTGAATTGACCATGATTTTTTGTCATGTCTAATAAGTATTTATATTCCTGTATGTTTTGTATGATGTAGCCAATAAAACTTTAACCTGAGGTGTCTGCTATTTGGTCGAACATTGTTGTTCTCTTTGGGTTAAAGCTTTGAAACCCTATTATTTTGCAAATTTTAAACATACACATGCCATAGCAAGTTGTGGTTATGACGCCCAAGGAATATTGCTTGCCACAGTTACACTTTCAAACTACAAATGCTTATTGGATTACATATATTTTGGACACACTGCACTGTGTTACACCTAGATCAGGGATATTCTAAGAAGCCTGAACATAAAGAACCTATGATGCCTTGTTGTATGTTGTAAAGAAAGATAATCATCCTGTGCCATTGTGTGGAGTTGAATATGAATAATATTGTTCACTGTTGTGTTGTCTTCAACAAAGGCTTCCGCAGTGCTGAGATCATTTTCTAAATTATTTATGATGTTGATACTTGAAAACTGCCATCCATTTTTACAGAGGGTACTGGTACTACATGACAAATTACAGGTTTTCATGTTTGAAATGGGGTTTTATTTAATTGTTTATTTATTTTTCTATCTGTTTTATTTTTTGTCAATTTTGATCAGTTTATTGACTGAAGTTATGAAAAGAAGTACATATACCTTGTGACGTATGAGATTTATTGAAAAATGTTTGTGATTGAAGAAAATTGTCATTGCCATTGAAGAAAATTTGTAAATATTAGTGATGTTTCTTGTTTAAAGTTTAGTTTCTTGAATTATAGTTGATATATTTTTGAATGAATTACAAGAATCTTGATGATTTCATGGTTTTCTACAACCTAACTATTTTTATACAATTGCTGCAACGAATATGAATTTCACTTACATGTGATTTGTTTTCCATATGGCAACTGTGAAACTGATAAGCTTGTATAAAGAAAAAATGTATAGACATTTAATGAGTCATTATGGCAGTAGGAACTGTGCTTTTCCTTTAGTATTTTACACAATATTAATACCAAGTAAAATTGTTTGAACTAACTGATGTCGAGACAGGGTAATGAAAGAAGTTATCAAGAAAAAAAAGTGGAATATTCCACCTTGAGCTCAGGTTTTTGACCTGTTCTACATAAGAAAGAAAATATGATAATGGAAGCAGAATGAAGCAGATATCAAACATTTATTTTGTCCGTTTATCAGTGTTTGATATAAATATATTCTTGCAGTTAAAACCAGAGCATTGAAGGTAAATATTTCACATAGAAAATTAATATTAAAGAAACATAGAGAAAGAAAATAGAAAAAAAAACAGGCAGGGGGGGAGTATGCCTTTTACTGCATTCAGAAAATCTTTAGTCTTTGATGATAATACAGTTCATTATCGAAGGCCTGGGTTAATTTCACTTTTTTATTCAGAGGTGAAATAAGTTAAACTTTTTTAAACCTTGCAAGAACCATAGGGCTTGTTAATTTTGTTTTAGTGCCCCCACAAAAAAGAGAGAAGAAAAAAAAGAAGGAAAGAAATAAATGAGGTTTAGAAGTGTACATAATTTTATTTTGTTACTTTTCCTGCTTGCCAGACTCAACGGGTTCTAATTTTTATCTCTCCTCTCTCCTCTTTTCTCCTTTCCTCTCTCTTCTCCTCTTTTCTCCTTTCTCTCTTTCTCCTCTTCTCTTCTCTCCTCTTTTCTCTCCTCTCCTCTCCTCTCTCTTCTCCTCTTCTCTTCTCTTTCCTCTTTTCTCTCCTCTCCTCTCTCTTCTCCTCTTCTCTCTCTCTCTCTCTTCTCTCTCTCTCTCCTCTCCTCTCTCTTCTCCTCTTCTCTTCTCTCCTCTTTTCTCTCCTCTCCTCTCTCTCTTCTTCTCTCCTCCCTCTCTCTCTCTTCTCTCCTCTCCTCTCTCTCTTCTTCTCTCTCTCCTCTCTCCTTCCCTCTCCCTATCCCTATCCCTTTCTGCTCTTCCCTCATTTCCTTCTCACTCTTACTCTCAATTACTGTTTGCTGCAAAATTCCCACAATTGAATGAGGATGATTTTACTTACCTTTTTAGTTGTGTGGATAAATGAACCCAGAATAAGCCAATGGGGTGGTGGGAGATATAACTGAATCTTGTATTTGATTTTTTTTATTATTATTTATTCATTTTCATTTATTTATTTATTATAAAGCTGAGTGTATTGTTAGTGAAAGTTTATCATTATTTGGGGATGAAATGACATTTGAAAATACGGAAATGAGTTGGCCATTGAACAGAATTTGTTTTTTGCTCCAACCTATATGTACAGGAGGCTATGAATTTCTGGGGTATAAGATGAAGGTTGTTCCAACTTGAGGCCTACTAATGATCTTGAAGCTGCTATACTATCAGAAAGACAGGTACAATTACAGACCGTGCAAGTTTAAATGTTTGTGTGTGTGTAAATGTATATATATATATATATATATATATATATATATATATATATATATATATATATAATATATATATATATATATATATATATTGTGTGTGTGCGTGTGTGTGTGTGTGTGTGTGTGTGTGTGTGTGTGTGTGTGTGTGTGTGTTGTGTGTGTGTGTGTGTGTGTGTGTGTGTGTTGTGTGTGTGTGTGACAGACAGACAGACAGACAGACAGACAGACAGACAGACAGACAGACAGACAGACAGACAGACAGACCCCACACATAGACAGACAGACAGACAGACAGACCACACACACACACAGACCCACACACACAGACAGACCCAACACACACAGACAGACCCACACACACAGACAGACCCACACACACGACAGACCCACACACACAGACAGACCCACACACACAGACAGACCCACACACAGACAGACCCACACACACAGACAGACCCACACACACAGACAGACAGACCCACAGACAGAAACATACACTAACAGACTGATTGTGTGATGTGTGTGTGTGTGTGTAATTGCTGATGTGGAGACACTATATATAATGTGTGTGGTGGGCTTTATATGTACACTGTGTGTGTGGCTCTGTACAAGACTTGAATGAGTGATTGAGAAGCAGGTCAAAGTATTGGCCTTGTTGGGAAATTCAGAACACATAACCCACTGCTACCAGGAAATGTTATAATTCATTGTAGTCCTGCTTTGCAAAATATCTACTTACAGATGGCTCCACAAGTGCTTAGCCACCAGAGTCGATTAGTATACATGACGACCTCACCTGATCTCATATTTCTTGAGTTGTCTGGATTTTATTTCTTTTACTAATGTTATCAATATTGATGCCATTATTATTATAAACATGAGTATTGTGATAATTTTGACATTATTAATAGCAAAGTAAGATATAGGAAAATATTTATGAAGATCCAGGAAAAGGGTTAACAGGTGAGATAAATTGTACTAGTAATTAGCTCATTGGTGACTAAGTCCTTGTGGAGCCATCCATGTGTAACGACAATTGTTAAGCTAAACTCAAAGTGGCTGTGCCATATACTTGCATGCCATCCCTGGTGACATTGGGTTAATATGGGGACTCTTGTTTACAAGCACAGAATAGTTATGTAAATCTTGTGTGTTTGTCTCCTCTTTTATTTTAAAATGAAATAGTGCAATGAATAGAATTTGTATATTCTAAAGGTTAATTTTTTTTTTTTTTTCACTTCCGAGTTGAGACACCAAATTCAATGAATGTCCTCTTGCAAAAAATACATTTGATAATCCATCATCAAACAAAATAAGGTAATGATTTTGATTATTCAGAAACACTGAGGGGTGAGGTTGATTAAGGAGAGAAAAAAGTGATTTTGAATAGGTAATGTATTCCCCTATTTTTAGGAAAGTTTTTTTTTTTTTATGGATGATTCTCAATGAATATTTAAACTTAGTGATTAAGAGTCCATACTTTTTTAGGTTATCAACTATTTTATATAGATCAAAGTTTTGGGGTTAATTAAGGTATTGCAGAAGACTGGTATTGAAGAATGAATGGTGATCATCAGCTACAAGCTAGGAATGCATACAAGGAAGGAAGTACTGTTTCACACTATCTCGATTTGAGAAGTGGCAGCTTATACCATGTTCATTTTTACGTCATCCCTCCTCTGT